AATTTTTCTATCGAGAAAAAGTTATATCGCGATACATATCGTTATCGTTCTATCGCCCAGCTCTACTACAAGCTAAAAGTTTCTCCAGTTTTTCATTAAAAATGTTTGATGTCTCATTGCACTCTGAAGTGAAAGCGCAGCACAAATAAGCAATTGGAGTAAAAAGTAAATGAATAAATAATGGAATCAGTTTATAGACCAAAGTGTATTGTAAACTTTGACTCGTCAGTAGCCTCCTTTGGCAATGGAATACAATAGAAATCAAATATTCTCCCATATCTGTAGCAGAAGTTCCCATAAATGTGGACGTTGTAGGCTGCTTTGCTTTTGCTCTTCTGTCCAGTTCAAACCAGCTCGATGGGGTTTAAGTCTGCAGACTGTGCTGCACACTCCATGTTTCCAAGCTCACCATCTTGTTCTTTGTTCCTGAGGTAGTTCTGGCACTTTTGCTATGGGTCATTATCTTGCTGTAGGATGAACCCCTGACCAACTAGGTGCATGCCAGAGGGTCCTGCATGGTGCTGCACAATGCTGTGGCAGCTGTTCTGGTTCAGGGAGCCTCTCACTCTGTACGAGTCACCGACTCTGGATCAGCAAACAGCCCCAGACCATCACACGTCCTCCTCCATGTGTGACAGTTGATGCCACACACTGTGGACCCATCCTTTACCTACTCGGCAGTGTGCAAAGATCCTGCGTGATGACTCATCAGTCCATAAAACCTTCTTCCAGTCTGCAGTATTACAATGGCGGTGTTTCATGGCACAGCCAAACCTCTGTCTTGTTCTGACATCTTAGTGATGTCCTGTCAAACCTGCAGCTCGAAGTCTTCTCTTCATTGTCATCTCTGCGATATACAGTACATAGAGAGACGAGACAACGAGGCTCCAGTTCCATTCAGTGCAAAAGAAAAACAATAAATATAGGAAGAGTAAGAAATAAATATACAGTTTGAGACTGAGGTGAGGGAAAACTGAGACTTGCTCACTACGACCACTATTACTCTGTGCTTGAAGCTGTTGTCCTGTGAGCCGCCTATCAAGCTGTTAACTCTCAGAAACTTCTGGTTCAGTTGTGTCTTTGGGTCTGCAGACCTCTTCCTGTCACAGTTTGGAAAGACAAACATTTATAAATGTTATGATGCTCCGTCTCTCTTCCATTGTTAATCACCTTTTTCTCCCCGTTTTTGTACCAACACACTACTGTTCAGCTGATGCTCACGAGGGTACATCAGTGTGTTCCAACACTGCTTTTATGCAGAGGGGGAAGTAATCCAGGAAAGTGGGAACACCTGTAGGAATTAGTAGCACCAGCTTTCAAGGCTTGACCAGCCTCCATTGCTGCAGAACAGCTTTAAACTTTTAACACGTTGTGTGTTTCCTTGAAAAAGGCCTTTATGTATAATTCTGAAATGTGCATTATTTTTTCAGTTTTAGCTAACCTTACCTTTAACCTCTGGCAGTTCACCGCTTACCTTTGTACCTTTTCAAGCTATTCATTGGACTGAACAACTTGAATTGCAATAAAAACCTGTTCTTAAACCTACTCAAGTACTCCTCGATTTAGACATTCAAGCAAAAACACTTGCAGGTGATTTACCGGTTCACGACTCGGCCACAACAGACATCTTTTACACAAAGTTAGCCAATCTCACATCAGAACTAAAATCAGCTGACCTGTGTTGACCAGCGAGCGCCTGTTGCTGTGCTCAGTCAGGGGGAACTGCCCAATTAGGTCACAGGCCTTACGCAGGTCATACAGGAAGTGCTCCAATGCTGACAGGAAGAGAACCCACAGACGCTCCAAAACCTGCCTGTCCTGCACACCTGAGGGGGCAAAGTCAGAGTTTGAAAGCGAGCGCAGCAGCCGGCAGGACAGCCCTGAAGACACATAAGGGAGATGGAGCAATGAGAGTCAGGTGAACACGTGAGACAGCGAGAAACACACAGGTGAGAAGGACAGGTGAACCACAGACAGGTGTTACCACTGCAGATCCGGTGAGCCACAGCTCTCGTCTCATCCAACTCATCTCGCAGGAAGCTGCCGTCGGCTGAGCTACCGACCAACGCAACCAGCTGCTGGAAACATGAAGTGACCCGACTGAGTGCATCCTGAGCGCGCTCACATTCATGCTGTCGCCGCCGTGCCGCCAGCTCGTCCACTGAACGACGCCAACGACTCATTATGTCGACCGCCTGGAGGGAGGAGAGAGGTAGGACAGGTGCTGTTCAAACATCTAAAACTTAATATCTAAATCTGGGTGATGCTTAGACAAGTAAATGTAAAATCACCTGTATGACCCACCTGTGGATGTGCCTTTATAGAACACCTGTATGAAAGAAGTTGTACCTGCTGCAGCTTCTTCCTCTGTGGTGGAGAGCAGCTCTTGCCAGGTTTCTATAAACACTCTTGCTCTTCTCTCTGAGGATAGCGTGTTTTTAATTAACACGCAGCGACCAGCTGATGCCCAAATGCTCCTGGGACTCCACCCACAGGTCCCAAAGATGTCACTCATGTGACAACCTTTCACCTGAGAGGAACTCGCAGCAGGAAATGATTCAAACACTTCATGTCACTTATGTTTATTTATTTCATCACAAAACTAAACAGTTGATTCTCCAAAGGCTCCGCCCACTACACGGACAGGAAGTGACACTCATCATCATCACAGGGTTCATGAATCATTTTACAGACAGGACATCGGGACTGTTAGCATAGCTTAGAATAAGCACAGCTTCAAAGCTAAATACACATGCTAAGCTAGGCTAGCACTTTCCCTCTGTGATTAGTGTAAGTGTTAAGCTAGGCTAACAGCCTGTCAGGTCATGTGACTGTGGGATAAACAGGTGATACAGGTACAGGTGTGTTCTGTAATCAGCAGGTAAAACAGTTTTATGATCATGCCCAGGACAGTAACATGTCTCTGATTAGTCAGCAGATGTCTTCTGACTGGAGAGGACTGTCTCCACTTCCTATATGTGATGATGTCATCACGTAGTTCAACACTGATTGGCCGTATTTCCACCAAGGGGATGTGTGAGGGGGACTTGCTGGTATTCACAAAGGGCAGGGTCAGAGTGATGTCAGAGTGTGATGGCTCAGTCTACAGGCTTTTCTATGGCTACATTTTGTTGTCACGGTAGCGAGTGCGTGCGGGCAGCAAGCGCCTCCATTAGCTCGTGGCAGAGACACTGACAGAAGCCGTAAAGGACGAGCAGCAGCAGCGTAGACGGGACGAGACTGACGAGGACCACGCCCAGCCATAGCTGACCAATCATCAGCAGGTAGATCCCCAATGGCAGCGAGCTAAAGTACACCTGCACACACAGGGGGAGTAGCCGCACACACCAGTTACACTGGTTCTGATTTAGATAGTTATGTTCAAACTGGTTAAACTGGTACTTACCAGGCAGAGTGCCCCCAGCAGGCAGCGTGGGAAGCTGCGGGATGTCCAGGCACGGCATTTCTGACCTGGGAGGTTACAGGGCAGCGAGTCCAGACTGGGAGCATGGTACAGACCCACTACATTGAGCATGCTCAGTGAATCTGAGGATGGCGACTCCTCTGGGAGCTCCATGATGGTGATGACGAGACAGTCCGAGGAGCGGTGGGATGCTTCCTCGCCGCTGCCTGCAGCTCCGCCCCCTGGGAACAGACGCAGAGCTTTACCAAGAGAAATTCCAGACACTGTTATTTTCCTTTTTAAGGAAGGCTGGAGAGCAAAGTACTGTTTTTACCCTCCAGGTGGGCGTGTCTCCCGAGCGCTGACATCATGTGAAAACTATGGATACACCAACCAGTAATCAATATCTAAGGTGTCCAATAAAGGATACCGCTGACCAATGACGGCGAAGAATACCGCTCAATCACCTCAAACAGGTCACTTTATCGCGGAGATTCCTGATTGGATAAATCTACCGGCTGGCTGTGATTGGCTGACTATCTCATTCTAACTCTCAGGTTTTTACCTGTCAGACTGCTGGGACTTAGCACTACCTCCCCACCGCTGCCACTTCCTGCTCCACCTCCTCGCCGAGCACGATCCTGACACGACAGGACCGCCAGGATGTGCCGGTCGTCCTCCATCAGCCACACCTGAGGAAGAGGGGGAGGAGACAGTGTGAGTTCAGGTTGTCAGACTCTGACCGTCGAAGAGGAGGAAATGAGGCCACACCTCTTCGTCGGGGACATACGTCTCGTGGCGGCAGAATGGGCAGCTGATTATGGACGGCGAAGACTCTCCTGGAATCACATGATACAACAGGTGATGTGACCAGGTAATGGTCATGCTGGCATCTGCGTGATCCAGCAGCTGACTGTGCTGTGTGTCTACCTGCCAGGTGAACTCACCCATGTCGACCATCTTCTTCAGACACTTGGCGCAGACTCGGTGCAGACAGCCCAGCAGTTTGGGCTTCCGGCTGCGCGTGTCGTAGCGATTATAGCAGATTTTACACTCGAGTTCCTCCAGCGTGTACACCAGAGACTGAGCCCAGGTCTGCACCTGAATGCAGCACAGCAACAGGTAAGTCTCCCCGAACACATCGCGGTCTCTGTTCGATCTCTCCAAACTTTATTAGAAATGTTTTCACTAAATAAATCTTTTCTCTCTCTCTGCGACACCGCAGGGATGCATGATGGGTAGACTCACCTTTCCCTCCATTTCCTGTCCTGGCTCCACCTCCTTCAACAGGCTCATCTCGCTGACTGTTGTCTTCACCTGACGTGAGGGGGAGGTGGGTGCTGGGTGGGGCTTAACTGAGGCTGTTACCTGACTGTGAGACAAACAATGAAAGAGATTACTAAACAAGTCGAGTACTGTAACTATGACCGAGCTACAGTTCTGCGTTCCTCATCTGCAGGTAGAAACACACCTGAGTCCAGGTCATCTGATCAGCGAGACAGTCTGAAAGGACGTCCATCCGTCCAGTCAGAAGCAGACGTCCTCCTGGAGAGAAACAACCGTTTACTTTTAAAATAAGAGCACGCGGACTGTCACTCTCATTGATCAGTTATTGATTAGTTATTTACCGATCAAAGTGAAAAAATAAAGTATGAACAGAATAAAAGCTGGACCGGAGCTTCTGTTGTTTCTATCTGTGCTGAACGCTGCTCAGGTGTGTTTGTTTGTACCAATAACAAAGCAGTATTCACAGCAGGTGAAGTGTTCTGCTCAAGCTCCGCCTCCTCACAGACAGGTAAGTTTTTTTTGTTTGTTTGTTTTTTTTTAATCCTTCCCTCACCTGGATGGCCAGATGATGTCACCACCTGATGATTCCTGTCCTGCCTGACTGAGATTAACCATGTGACTCCCCTATAGTTTAAGCTGAGGTTTATTGATTCTCTTTGATCTTCTGATGGATCGATGTTTAAGGATGAGCTCTGCAAACACACCTACTACAGGTACATGCTACCTGTTACCATGACTACAGGTAGGCACCAGCTGCAGCTTTAAAAATCAGTCATCAGGATCTGTAATAGTTTTCAAACATCTGCCCGAACAACTGTGCTCACTGATTTCTGATCAGATTATTGATTATCAGACGCCCCCCCCCCCACTCGCATGTTGCTCACCTGCTGTTGGCAGTTGCTGTAGTGGTAGGCTGCGTTGCTGTGAGTGAAATCGTAGCTCTGTCACTGGTTGCTCTTCATGAAGTTGCTGTCTGTCTCCCAAGCTGAAGCAACGTGTTGATGCTCACATGTCAACTGGATAAACTCCAGGTTGCCGGAGTTGCTGCTGCTGCAGATGTTGTAGGTTTTAGTTGCTGCAGTCCCTGCTGAAGACAGAAGGTTTAAGCAACATGTTGGCGTAGGATCAGTTGCTGTTTGCTGCAGAAACAAATCAGGACGTGTTTAATTCTGCACAGTTGCCGTCAGTTTGTTGCTGCTGTCTCCGGTTGCTCTCGTGTAGTTGCTCTGCAGTCAGACTGTAGGGCGATGTTGCCGCTGCCCTGCAGTAGGCGATGCTGTTGCTGCTGTCTGTTGCTGTGATGTCACTGCGGTAGTTGCCGTCATCAGCCTCATTGACAGTCCGTAGCCGTTTCGCGCCTCCGGCTCACGCGGCAGCGGGATGCTAACATGCTAACGTGCTAACCCGTCCCGGTGTGTCGGTTGCTGTTGTCGCTTCGTCGGTTACCGGAGCTGTTTTCTGTCGGTGACTCACCGTCTCGCCTCCGTATCGCGGCGGCGCGCGTCCGGCGGCGCGGTCACGGTTACCATAGAAACCGTTCAGCAGCGGAATGACGGGAAACTGGACGAGACGAACAGGATCGATCTACTGATCGATAATCTGATCGCAGGTTCATTTACCTGTCACACATTTCAGCCTTCACAGGCTCAGCGTGGATTGGACGGATGACACGCCGGTGATTTTAAATATTAAACACCAAAATAAACCAATCAGAGAGCAGAAACTTCAGGATTGCCCAATCAAAAGTAAATACAGACCAATCCAATACAACTTTATTTATAAAGCACCCAGCACAGGACCAAAATGCTGAACAGTAAATTAGTTAAGAACAATAGAATTAAACAAAACAGAAAAAAACACACATAATACATAAAATTAAAATTAATAAAAACTAATATAAATAAACAAAACAAAACATTTCACAAGGTGTCAAAGGCCAGGGTGAAGAGATGGGTTTTCAGAAGTGACTTAAAGACAGAGAGAAGAAGCCTGTCTAATCTGTAAAGGCAGTATAAGAGCCGCTACAGTAAGTACCAGGCCAGTATGTTTAAGGCAGCTGATGTGGTGGAGAGCAGTGAGGCATGAGATCCATGCTATCCGGACAGGACTCATACTGTGTTTCTGTCCTGTAAGTTCATGTATGCACTGAACATAAAACATATCTAATAAACAAACTGACACTTTAACTGAAGAGGATAAATTGAACCTTGCTAAATTACAAGATAAATTAGATCGTTTATACTCAGACAAAGCAAAAGGAGCCTTTATCAGATCAAGCTCTAAATGGCTTGAAGAAGGTGAGCGTAATTCCCATTATTTCTTCAGTTTAGAAAAGAAACACTCAAGCATAAACAATATTAGCAAAATAATGATAAATGGGGTTATAACAGAGGATTACAGATTAATCTCTCAACACTCTAAAAACTTAGTTGGTTTAGGAATAACATTATTTTAGTCAACCAATTATTTGATTCAAATGGTACGCTTTTCTCCTATGAAGAATTTTGTTTAGTTTAGCTATAAATCGTCATGATTATACAAAAGTATTTGGCTTAATACCATCAGGGGTTTGTATGCTGTTTAAGAATCAACCTAATATCACTTCATTCCACAGGCCGTTGAGATCTCCCATACAAACTTTTGTTGGCAAGATTTGCTTTTCTAAGCAAACTAAAGACAACAATAAATCTATCAGATCTTTATTTCAGAGTAGCAT